CAGTATCAGTACCTCGGCGTCTGCGCGGATGCCCGACTGGATGTGTTTGTCCCCAGGTAAGTCAGGGCATCCATGAATCATCTGCCTGCCTGACTTCCCTCTAGGGTTGTCCGACCCTCGGCGCGATAGACCGATCTGCAGTGTGTTCGGGACGTTCTTCCACTGAGTCCCATGCGCGAAGAAGCGCGGTGCTCCTTCTACTGTCAGGTCGGTCACCAGCGAGCACAGTGACGCTGGGTATTCTATGTCATGGTTACTATGCCCACTGCTGGGCCGCAGGTAGTAGGTCGGGCAAGTCTCCCCGCTGCGGGCAACCTCCTTCATCTGGAGTCCGTTCTTCTTCATACTAGTACTGAAGTCGACCAATTCGCATCTCTTCAACACAGCAAGTGCCTGGGATGCCCAGTGTCTGGGCTTGAGGTGCTACTCAACTACGTCGAGGTATTTGTCATGCCACTATATGTTGTCTTGTGGTGGCCATTTTGTAAACAATTCCTCGAGACGCCTCCAGCCGCCGCACTCGTCATGCGAGGTAACTACATCCGTGAATCGCCGTGAGATGTTGTCGTTATGGAACGGCTTGTGCCGGATGGCTGTAGTGAGCCATTTCGAGCAGCGCCGCTGCTCACGATGGGGTGGTAACCGCGTTGACTCGTGCTGCGTTCTGAGGACCCTCGTCAGTTCGTCAGCGTCACCACTATAAGTGATGACTGACGCTCGGCGCAGCTTGTTACGAACTCGCTGGCGTTCTGCAGCTGATTCGCTCGTGCACGTTGCTGTGCTGTCAATTGGGTACTTGAGTACCCTGTACAGGCTTGTGCCATCATCTGCTTTTTCGTCATATGCAGGGTTAACTGGCATGTGGTTGAGAGTGCCAAGTAGTTTCCAGTAGCCCCTGCATCCATACTCAATTTCAGGGATATTAGCAGGTTGTCCCGCATATGCAGACACAGCAGGTGGCCCCGCAGATGCCGACGCAGATGCAGACTCAGCAGGTAGCCCCGCACTTCCAAGCGGGCCCTTCTCCTTTTCGCGGATGTCCTTGCGCCAGCTGCCGCGGCAGCTGCAACAGCTGGCCCCCTGGCGCGCTTCCTGCGAGCAGTTTGCCCGGCGGGCGCCCCTTCGGATCGCTTCTCTTTGCTTCGCCGGCGGCCCCCAGAGAGCGCGCCCTCTCCTGAACTGGCCCGTTTCTTCGACCGCGTCGACCATGGCGCACTTGGGGATGGAGGCGCGTTTGCGAAGCCTGTCTCCTCCGACGGGCGTTTCGGGCGCTTTTCTGCGCGATCGGCAGTCTCTCCCGCGCCCGCGGGCACAGCGGGTTTCCCCGCACTTTCTTGTGAGGAGTCATCCGTCTGAGCTCGCCCCCGTCGATGGATCCTCATGTCCTGAATATTGTCATGTCTCCTGCGATCTAGGTTGCACCTTCCATCGGGCAGCTCGCGCCCCACCGCGGCGTGGATCCAGCCTGCGCGTCGCCTGTGGCGCCATACTGCGTCGCCCTTCTCCAAGACAGCATCCTCCATGACTTGTGCGCCAGCGCCCGCGTCGGCGTCCGCGTCGCCGTCGGCGCAGGACTCGCATTCATATTCCGACGCAGGCGCGGTGGGTTCAACAACTGGCGCGGAGCCTGCAGCCCCCTGCTCTTTCCCAGCCTCGGCCAGCGGGTCATCCCGCTTGTCTTGGCCGCGGTCGGCACCTTCATGAGAAGAAGCAGGTTGCCCCGCAGAGGAAGCCGCTCCTGCGTTGACTCGGGCGTGGCACTCCTCGCGCATGTGGCCTGTGCGATCGCGGCGCTTGAGTCCGTGGTCCTCGCCTAGGTTCTGCCGCTCCTGCTCGACGAGTGCTGCCTGCAGGTCATCCAGCTCCATGTAGTCCGCCTTGGTCAAGTGCGCGCGTCTGGGGATGCAGCCTGGGTCTAGGTTTCTCCCCTGGCCATCCTCGCGCGACCAGACCCATGGGTTCCTCCCAAATTTGGGGCTCCTTGAAGGGCGCCCATGGGGCGCTTCGGCCTGCGATCCGCGAAGTGCTCGCGCCCGCAGACTGGCCCCCCGCATTGCAAACGATGCGCACACATGCTTCTTTTGTAAGCCTTCTTCTCCAGTTTGTCGGGCTGCCAGGCGTCGCCGGCTCTGCTGGAACGGATGACCATTCCAGCGTCGGTGCCCCGACGCGCGGACTGCAACGATCAATGGTAACGGATCCGGTGGTCGGTGTAGCCCCGCGCCCGCCAATGCTCCACGTAGTCCTGCGGCGTGCTCTGGCGGGCGATGCCGTCGTCGTGGTAACCGACCTCATTGAAGCGAGGCTCGCCCGCGGGCCCATCGGAGCCCTCGTCGTCCTGATGCAGCTTGCCCCGCGAATGCGCATGCGCTGGCGAGCCGCTCGGGGTTCGCCCGCGCGGGCGTCGCGCGACGCCCGAGCGGGCGCGCGAGCGCCCGCGGGAATGACTCCGACGGCGGTGCGGCGGACTGCTTTCAGCTTCCCATTCTTCATCGTCTTCAATTCGATCCACGCGCCCCCATGCCTCGCGGCTCGATGGGCGCTCGTGCAGTGCCGAGGTTGAGTGGGGGCAGTCATCGGGTATAAACTCGCATCGAATCCGCTGAGAGAGATCGCCGGTGTCGCGCGGGCTACCCCGCGCTGGGCCATCGTCGCGGGCTACCCCGCATCTAGAAATCCCAACCACCTGCGGTTGGAACGACTGTCGTAACTCCTCTTCTGTAGCCGGTTTCGTTTCGTCATCCGGGTCGTCCAACTCGCATCCATCGGCATTCGCGGGTGCCCCCGCCATCTCGTAATCCGAGTCGGCGGATGACTGGCCCTCGTCCTCATCGATGATCTCCATGCAAGCAGGTTGCCCCCGATCGGGATGCCCAGCCAATCTGCGAGGTTGGTCTCGCCATGGCCGAAGAACACTTCCTCGCAGAGCTCCTCGGCGTACCTCTCGAGGGGCGAGCTGGCGTTCATGTATCTCGCAGACGCGAGGTGGACAGCAGCAGTGGGGGCGTCGTCAGAATCGGCAAATCGTGCCTCGAAGTCGACGTATTGAATGTCCGAATCGGTCTGAGCCACATGCATCGACAGACCCCCCCCTGCCTCCCGTGTCGCCACTGGGGCCCTCGCGACGAAACGAAGTGCTATGGCAAATATCGCATTCCATGGTTTTCCCGTTGGCATTCTTCGGGCTACCCCGACGCCCCCTACCGTTTCAGAGGTCTGTCTACGGCCTCTACCCTTACCCGAGAATATTTCCTCATACTGTGTTCCGCAAAGGATACCAGGAATGGTATAATGCCTCTACCATGCAGGCGTCGTCCTTTACCATCGCCTCTACCTTTACCGTTTGACCCAAGCGCACGTCGGCCCGCGCGTCGTGCCCTTCGAACCAGTCTCTCCATAAAAAGTCCCCATCGGCGTTTATGTGCTTGCTGTTCTTCGGTGAGGTGTACAAGTATATCGGAGAAGTCGAGGTTTCCGGTGCCTTCGTCTGACGAGGTGTCGGCGTCTGTGCCTGAATCGAAATCAGACTCTGCGGGTTGCCCCGCCGAGCCCACTAAGGCAGTGGCATGGGTAGGGCCCGCCGGTGTCGACGGTCCCCGATGTTGAGCCCAGGAGTCTTGCGACCCCGAGGGTTGGCCACCTTGTTGGCTCAATAAAATGGTTGCTTCGTTCGGTGGTGGATCATCGTTCCAGATTGCGCCGGCAGGTTGCCCCGCTTGAGTGCAACCATGGAAGACATCAGCGCGGCGGCCGCGATTGAAAACACCACCGCTGCTGCCAGGGGTTCGTTCAGCAATGTGGGCGTAAGCCCTCGTGCGCTCCAGTGAAGAATCAAATTCTTGCTGCGTCCTTAATCTTTGGTGGTTCAGTGAATGGTCGACCCGTTCTCCCGCATGGACACGATCATCGATGAGAGCCGTCCCCGAGTTCAGTTGTCTTTCATCTCCAAGATTTTCGAACTTACTGCTGAGGAGCATTATATGAGTTACCCCATCGGTGTGGCGCCCACCGATGTTCACTCCAAAGTTAATCGCTGCTGGGGGGACTCTCGTAGCGATGGTCCTTGCGAGACCTCCGAGGCCACGCTGTAAGGCAGCGGCCTGTTGGGAGGGAGTCATGGTGCCTGTGGTCACGTTGATCCAAGCATGTACTTCTCGAACGAATTCGCGGAAAAGTACGTTACTGGCAGGATCCCAGTGGGGACCGGTAGTGCGCGTGTCGTCTGCTCCATGTTGCATGTGTCCAACAGCACATCCGATGGCGACCCAAACGATGCCAAATATAGTGATGCCGCTGGATTGCGTAAGTCGGTGTCGGTTGTGGGTGGCTGTTGTTTGTTCGGTGACGTTACCGTCAGTTTGCGAGGGGGTACAGGCGGCACGATGTGATAACGCACGTTACCATGCATAGCATTTTCGAAGAAATTGCCGAGTGGCGTTGGTGGGTGTACTTTAGGAATATAGTAGCGCAGAGATGCAAGGCTCAGGTAGAATACCTCTGCGTGAGCAGAGGCTTCAGTGCAAGTGTCCTTGCGATGGCCATGGTATCCTCTGCGTAGAGCCACGCCCTGATGGTCCACCATATCAGTAGTCCACCAGATAGCGCCGTGGATAGCAAGGAGTAAAGCTAAAGGTGGCCACCAACGGCCAGCTCCGCTACCAAGTTTAAAGTGAGGTGGTAGGCCCAACCAAGTACTACGCCTTGGCCGTAGCATCCGATTAACCCTGTTGTACTGTAGTAACGATAAAGCATGAGGTAATTAGGAGATGGCCGAGTGAACAGCAAGGTGACATCTCAAAGGATTGTTTTCCGTATCGATGTCGAGTAGCGTGTCGCGGCGCGACACGGTCATATAGGCGGCCGGACGCTAGAGTCCAATCGGCCGTGGACAAACGCTCGCTAACTTTCGCCTTTGCCTTTCCTCCCTCAGAGTCTTTCTCCCCCCTCTGCTGACAAGAACCAGTGCTGGGCCACCTCAGCCCCCCAGCTGGCTCAAAGGCCTGGGCTTCGAACAGCGGGATGGGGACGGGGACCGACAACGGCACGCCGATGAAGCCCAGGCTGGGGCGCCGCGCGTGCAGCACGTGCATGAACAGCGGGGCCACGTAGCGCGCGACGGGGCCGAAGTCGAGGCCGAGCTCCGCGCCGTCCAGGAACGGGTACTCGTACTCGTAGCCTTAGTCTCTGGCTGATCACTCGGCCGATCACGCCACTCGATCACGTGATCCGATCGCAGCCCTGATCACGATGGCTGCCGCGCCGATCACAGATCGATCAAGCCTTCAAGCTCGGACGATCGCGTGATGAAGTCGAACTGATCTCGTGATCCCCTGAGCACTGCGATGGGATCAGCAAAGGCTGTACTCGAAGCCCGTGGCGAGTATCACCCTTTCCACCGGGGGCCCAGGCACTGTCTCGCCGCCGCTCAGGACCAGGCGGCCGTCCTCAGAACGACAGGAAACTGCAGAAACGTGAACTTCCGGAAATCCACTCGGATCTCTTCGATCGGCGCTGGAACCCCCTCCCTGGCGCGCTCCGCGCGACAGGTGGGCCCAGCGCAGACCCAGGAAAACTCCGCGCGGACTTCCGAAAAAACTTCACGTGTCTGTGCCGCTTTGCCTTCTCCGAGTCCTGGCCGAGAGCCGTCCCAAGCGGCACGTGGGTGCAGTTCCCAACCGTCTCGACCTCGCCGCAGCCCTTGGACAGCACGTACACCCACGCCGCGACGCCACGGTAGAAGAAGAAAAAATCACATAAACATCAATTTTTGGCGCTCCTCGCAGATTTCCTGGATTCGCGCTGGACCCCCCTCCCTGGCACGCGGAGCGCGCCAGGGGCGGCGCCGGAGGCGCCGCCGGGGGGGTCCAGCCCGGATCCAAGAGATCCGCGCGGAGCGCCAAAAGTTTATGTTTATGCTGTTTTTTCTTCTTCGAAACGGGCCTCCCTCGCAATGTCCACCGCGGAGGAGCGGCCGCCGACGACGAGCAGCACCCGCGAGGCGTAGCCCGAGGGGCCCCGGTAGCTCCGCGAGTGCTCCACGGCCCGGCTGCCGGCGGAGGGCACGGCGGCGAGCCACGGGGCCTCGGAGGAACAAGAAACTGCATGCACATGCGGTCAGACGGGGAAGGAGGAGGAGGAGGAGGAGGAGGGAGAGGAGGGGGAGGAGGAAGGGGAGGAGGAGGAGGAGGAGGAGGAGGAGGAGGAGGAGGAGGAGGAGGAGGACGAGGATAAATGGATCATCTCTGAGATCCGGCGGCTCTGGGGAATGTCTCGGGCGCCGCGGCCTTCTCAGAGCGTTCCAGGACGCTCTGAGAGCGCTCCAGAACGCTCTGGAACGGATTTATCTTCGTCCCAGCCCCGCCCGATACGGTCAAGAACTTTTGCTTAGCGTGTCGCGGCGGCGGCCCCGGCCACACGCCATGCCTGGCGATGAGATAATGTGAGTCGCTCCGCTCCGCGGGGCGGGAGGTTGGGAAGAACTCAGGACGTCGACGCCTCGGGACCGGGACGTGGATGGCGCGTCGCGCCGAGGCGTGGTGGGCCAGAGCTGGCGGATCGACACGCTATCCAAGAGCTCCCGACCGAAATTCGTGCGATCACGAACATGGATCAGGGAACCGCGAATCTGGCGCGTGGGTGCGCCCCGAAACGCCCCGAAACGATGGTGGTACGCCCCGAAACGCCCCGAAACGCCCCGAAAGATCCGCGGATCGATGGTGGTACGCCCCGAAACGTGAGGCTGGTGCAGCCCGATTGGGCGACGGAGAGCGCCGATTCTCCACGGAAGCGGGACCCGTCGCGAATCCACGCGTCGCTACTACGCGCTTGCGCCGCCTCGAATAAACTGCTGGAGCTCCGTGCAGGTTTCTTGGGTCGGCGCTGGGCCCCCCTGGCGACGCCTCTGGCGCGGCCCCTGGCGCGCCAAGCGCGCCAGGGAAGGGGGTCCAGCGCCGATCCTAGGAACCCGCGCGAATTTTTCCGAAACTTCATGTTTGTGCCATTGTCCCCCACTTGGGCGTTGCCCAAGGCTTTCTGCCTTGTGAAGAAACTGGTGGGTTCCAGACGCGGTCGTCGCCAAGTTCCCGAGGGGTTCCTTGGTCTTGTTTCCTAGCCTTAGTGCTGTTTCTTCTGTGGCGTTCCTCCAGGTTGCTTGGTCTTTCATTAGAGTAGCGTTCCTCGTGGTTGCTTGGTCTTGTTTATTCACAATGGTGACCCTCGACAAAACAATGTCGAGCAATGCCAAGCGATTCGCAACAATGTCCAGCAATGCCAAGAAAAGCCCACCATTTTCCAGCAATACCAAGCGATGTCAAGCAAGACCAAGTAACACCAAGCAATGCCAAGCACCGCCAGGAAATGTCAAGTAACGCCAAGCGATGCCAAGCAATGCTCAGCAACACCAACTACTGCAAGGCAACTAAAATCATTGCAGGGCCAAAAAATCCAAACAATGCCGCTTGGCATGCCTTCCCTTAATTGTGCTCACGCTGGGTTCATTTGTTCCTCTGGGCCTGACCGGGCACCTCGGGCATGTACGGCCGATTGTAATGTCCGGTGGCCACCACGACCGCGTCGAACTGCTCAGAGCGATGGTCGATGAGTCTGAGAACGTATGTCAACGACAACGCGTGCTTGTCCACCGAAACCCTTCGATACGACGCAGGCTGTGTAATGATGGCCGACACAGGCTGCGTGCTATCGGCGAAGCCAAACGGGGTATGCACACGTTGGGCTAACACACGTCGTGAAGATCATCGAAACGGCCAGCCTCTGTGTCCCACGAGACCTGCCACAGAGAGTCCCCCCTTGACTCCTCCTCGAGATTGTTTTTGTGTCTTATGATTTGTTACGCAAACAGTGTTTGCACTTAGGGGTTCTTCTCTGTTCTAGGAAACTGGGCCGTATCTTCGGTCTGGCGGCTGTGTGGCCGCCGTCGCCGCCCCGTCGACGCCTCGTCGCCGCCCGTCGGCTGGGCCGTGCCTTCAGTCTGGCGACTACGTGGCCGCCATCGCCGCCTTGTCGCCGCCGTTGCATTGCACCACGCACGACAAAACAAGATTGTCAGCGGCGCGCTTTTTCATCGTTCGCTACATCGATTTTCCTTTCTATAAAACACCAATCCCCCGCAGGATTCTCCGCTGCTTTTTTCGTATTGCAGTTTACATACGATGCTGCCCCATCGTCCGTCCATAATATAAACTCATACTATCCCAAGGGGGACCGGTATCGATCCCCCCGTCATGCCCTGCCAAAAGAATGTGCGCGCGCACTCGTGGATCAAAAATCATCAATTTTCCTTTGCAACACTGGTTTTCAAAAGCAACACACTCCTGCGCGCCTTTTTGCGAATTCAGTATACATGTATATATGTATATATATGTGCATATACACACATATATATATATATATATGTGTATGCTCGCCCCCCTGGTATCATACCATTTGCCTTGTCTTCGATACTTCCCACTTCTGTCTTTGTCAGCCCTCCCCCTCGTATGCTGCCCGCTCTCCGTCCGCATCGGTATCGTTCCTTCCCGCTGCATTTCTTTCTATGATTCGTTCCTTCTCCTTTGGATTATGTTCGTTATCCTCCCGATCCTCCCTCCTCCCTCACCCCTCGTCCCTCCTCCTTCCTCCCACCCTTCTCCGTTGCAGGGCCTCGTCATCTTCTTCCACTTCGCAAGCTTCCTTACCGCCCTCGTTCCTTCTACTCTTTATTGTCCCTCCTACTCTTCATTATCATTGTCGTTCCTTCTACTCGCTTATCGCTGATCCGACTTCTCTGCATATGTTCGTCTTTCCAAGGGCCTTCAAACATCGACTCCTTATGTGTAGGGGCCTCCACATATTGATTCCATTTGTGGAGGGACCTCCACATGATGATTCCATATGTGCAAGAAGCTTCCATAATAATATCTTGTGTGGAGGGGCCTCCCACTCGTTGAATCCTCATGTGGAAAGGGCCTGATTCCTCTTGTGGGGGATCCTCCACATATTGTTTCCTTATGTGGAAGGGATCTCCACATGTTGATTCCGTCTGTGGAGGGACCTCCACATGTTGATTCCTTATGAGCAAGGATCTCCATATTGATTTCTTGTGTGGAGGGGCCTCCAACTTGTTCATTCCTTATGTGGAAGGGGCCTTCACATAATGATTCCTTATGTGAAAAGGCCTGCACATATGGATTCCTTATGTGGATGGGCCTTTTCATGTCGACTCCTTATGTGGAGGGGCCTCCACATATTGATTCCGTCTGTGGAGGGACCTCCACACATTGATTCGTTCTGTGGCGGGCGATCTCCTTTTCCTCCTCCCCCTTCTGCTCCTCCTCCCCCTTCTTCTCTCACTCCGGCGCAGGGGTTGAGGAGAAGAAGGATCAGAAGGAGTAGGAGGAGAAAGATGAGGAGGAGAAAGATGAGATTGTTTCCTTTTGTGGGGGATCCTCCACATATTGATTCCTTATGTGGAAGGGACCTCCACATGTTGATTCCGTCTGTGGAGGGACCTCCACATATTGATTTCCTATGTGCAAGGGGTCTCCATATTGATTTCTTTTGTGGAGGGTCCTCCCACTTGTTGATTCCTTATGTTCGGAGGGGTCTGCACATATTGATTCCTTATGTGGATGGGCCTTCAAATTATCGATTCCTTAAGTTGAGGGGCCTCCACATGTTGATTCCGTCTGTGGAGGGACCTCCACCAATTGAGTTCTTTTGCGGCGGGCGATCTCCTTTTCCTCCTCCTCCTCCTGCTCCTCCCCCTCCTCCTCCCGCTCTGGCGCAGGGGTTGAGGATAAGAAGGAGCAGAAGGAGTAGAAGGAGAAATATGAGGAGGAGAAAGATGAGATTGTTTCCTTTTGTGGAGGGGCCTCCCCCATATTTTTTCCTTATGTGCAAGGGGACTCGCGCATATTGATTCCTCTTGTGGGGGGGGATTCCTCCACATATTGATTCCTTATGTGGAAGGGACCTCCACATGTTGATTTCGTCTGTGGAAGGACTTCCACATATTCATTTCTTCGGTCAAAAGGATCTCCACATGGATTTCTTATGTGGATAAGCCTTCGAATATAGATTCGTTATGTGGAGGGGCCTCCACATATTGAGTTTGTCTGTGGAGGGACCGCCGCATATTGATTCCTTCTGCGCAAGGGGTCTCCATATTGATATCTTGTGTGGAGGGGCCTCCAAAATGTTGAATCCTTATGTGGGAGGGGCCTTCATAGATGAGTTCCTTATGTGAAGGAGCCTGTACACATTGATTCCTTATGTGGGAGGCCCTTCACATATCGATCCCTTATGTGGAGGGGCCTCCACATGGATTCCTTGTGTGGAGTAGGAGGAGAAAGATGATGAGGAGGAGGAAGAGTAGGAAGGCGGAGGTGGACACGGGGGAAGCGGATTTACATATCGATTCCTTTTGTGGCGGGGCGGGGTACATATAATGGGAGGAGAGGAGAGGAGGAGGAGGAGGAGGAGGAGGAGGAGGAGGAGGAGGAGGAGGAGGAGTGCCAAGAGAGGGAGGAGAGAGACAGAGGGAGGAGGAGAAAGAGAGAGAGAGGAAGGGAGAGGAGTAGAGAGCGAGAGAGAGAGAGTCAAGAGAGGGAGGAGGATAGAGAGAGACAGAGAGAGTCAAGACAGAGAGAGAGGGGGAGGAGAAGAGAAGAGAGATAACGAGAGAAAAGGGAACGGAATTCGGCAGAAAACGGGCGGGAACGTTGAGTCAAGGAGTCGACTAGGCGGAGGCGACGGAGGAGGGTGATTTTCTTGTTCGTTGTTTTCCTCCTCCCCGCCCTCGGAGGCGGATTTTTTTTTGACAGAAAAAACCATGTGAAAACATTGTTTTTTCATATGTTTCATTTTTTTTTCCTGTTTTTCGCTCTCCCGTTCGGCCCCCCGGGGTTTCCCCGCCGCCCCAGGGGGGGGGGGGGGGGGGGGGAAAAATATGAAAAACATTTTTTTTTTTTTTTTTTTTTTTTTTTTTTTTTTTTTAAAAAAAAAAAAAAAAAAAAAAAAAAAAAAAAAAAAACTGTGCTTTCACAGGGAAACAGGAAAACGCTCCGCCTCCGAGGGCGGGGGGG